CTAAGTCCGTGTGTGAGATAATGTGAATACATCAGCTCCTCACCAAAGTAGGCCTTAAGACCTCAATACCGGCAAGTTATGGTGTGATAATCAAGCTGCACTTCATATTGCATCAAATCCAGTCTTTCATGAACGAACGAAACACATTGAGATTGACTATCATTTTGGTCGTGGGAAGATTCAGCAAAGTTTGGTTTCTACATGGTATGTGAAAACAGGAGAACAATTGAGAGATATCTTCACAAATGCTCTAAATGGAGTTCGAGTGAATTATCTTTGTAACAAGCTGGGCATGATAAACATTTATGCTCCAACTTGAGGGGGAGTGCTAGAGACTATTTCCTAGAATAGTAAAGTAAATAGTTTTACCTTTGTTTAGCCCTAATTCTTATCCTAATATAGAATTAGCTACTTGTATATATACACCATGTTTTCTATGAATGAAAGGGGAGAAATACCTTGAATATTTACAGATATCAGGATTCAATTTAAGTCATTCTTAAAGGAAAGGTCATGGGTTCAAATCCTGAAGATGCGATAGAAATCCATAAAGGATAAGATGGACCCAAGCTGTCCCAAAGCAGATAGTACATATGACATAACGACTTAAATATAGAAGACACATCGTTACAGGTGGGATAAGGATAATCCCCCTTAAAACCTGACATGTGCCCACCTGGTAGTAAGTTAGCTTTGAAATACATCAATACCCTTGATTGCTTATATACCCGCAACCATATGTCTTTATTACGTATTTTGAAGTGTATTCAACACAGATTATATTGGGTGGCTTCAAGTTTGTATTATAATTGATGACTATAATTTTCAAATTATTTACAATTGATATATAGATAAAATAGTTATTCATCTTAATAGGTCCATTAATATTCTGTGATAAATTTTTAGAGTGCAATGATTGACCCAGAAAAAAGAAAAGAGGTTTGCAACTTGAAATTTCAACAGATATAAATGAAAAGCTTAATTATCTGTATCTTGACCAACAATTTATTCTACATAGGTGCTCATACACCTGAATTCTAGAATTTGAAGCTCTCTAACTAACAATTGCACCTAATCTGCATCTGCACTAGGAATTTGCAAATAAGATTGGTAAGCAGCCAACGGCAATGTCTCCATTTGATGGACACAGGAATTGGTGACATACAGGTGCAGTTTCAATAACTGATTCCCTAGCTCTGTAAAATAACTAATAATCTAATGTGTTAAATTACATGTTGGGAATCAATTTAAAAAGGAAGCATACAGTTGAAGACTTCAGAAAATATAGGACCTTAATTAGAACTCATGAAGGGTAAAATTGAAATGAAAAAAATATACATGTAGGAATTTATTAGAGTAAGAAACTAATTAAGACAAATCTGAAATTTCAGAAACATTAAAGTTCAGTAGTATATCTAAGAAACTTCTCGTGAACACTAGTCCAGATCACTCTTACTGCCAAGCAGAACCATATGAAGCTGCTGTGGTTCGATTTTCTTTTAGATAAACGCTTGGCATCTAATTTACACCAAAGGAGATCTACAGTGAAAGATTAATGCTCCCAGGTATTTCCTTCCATTTCTCCCCCCACTCTTCCCCTTTATTCTCATTTCCCTCCAGTGATTCAAGTTGTGTTCAGTGTGTCATAGGTTCCTAAGAACCAAATGACAAATCTGTGTATCTACTGGGAAAAAAGCATCTATATGGATATTATTTAATGAAGGACGATCTGGTAGAGAAGCTATAAAAGTTAGGGAAGTATTATCATCAAACAGTGCATATATAAATAGTTAACTGGTAAATTCTGTTCGTGGTTACTATAGTTCACTCTAGTATCAATAATGTAATGTACTCAATTTTGCTCCATCGGGTAACTGCACTTTAATATAATTTCAATAGGATAAATACACTTTAATTTGATTCTAATCGGGTAACTACACTTAAATATAAATTTAATTAATTTTGTCCAATACTATTAATGATAATAGATGACATGACAGCCAATAAATGAAGTTTATACACATAAGCAATAGTTAACATTCAATTTAAATGGAGGGGAAACTAGCACTCAAAAGGATCTGCCTGCCGCTTAATGCGAGAAAACAAGAGCTTGAAACCATGTGGGAGAATGCTTGATAAACAATTGCACCACTAAACAACCAATGAAATAGCACATACCCTAGTTCACTGAACACTGATGGCCTAGTCTGTATCTAAGTAATTTGTTGAGAAGAAAATGGAATTGAGGTAGTAATCAGGTGTAAAAGCACATATGACAGTCCCACAATAAAGGCTAATGTTTTTTTATAGTGACTTAGGATCATATAATAAATTAGTTTGACAAGGCAAAAAGAAAAAAAAAAGTGAAATATAATTTACAATATGAAGATAATTGTCCCAAAGCCAAAAGGTTGAAGCAAATCCACGAGAACAGAAGACAAGAAAACACATAAGATCTAGAGATAAATTGCAATTACCATTTCAGCGTAACTTAGACCATATAGATCCTCATCATGGGCCCAATCATCCATGCTAAACTCAGGCAGTGGACGACTGCCATTTGCATAAAGCCATTGCCCTTTCTCAATTTTTCGACAGTTGGGACACTGCATCGCCCCCTTAATATTAAATGCTGAGCCAATGCAATCTGTACAAATCACGACACAGATAAATTGAGGACCAAAAAAGCAGCTTACTTAACAACTCGCCGTGAAATAATAACAACAAAAGACAGAAACAATCTCTTGCAACAATAACACTAAGAGTAAAAACAAGGCAAGAATTTAATGTTTTCCATGCATGAGAAATGTCTTATATGACACAGTATGGTAGTCAGATAATGAGTAAGAAATTTTACAAGCATCTTATACAAGTTACAATACAGAACAAAGCGACCTTTCAAATCTAGAAGCTGTGTGACTGCTTTTTTACGTTAGCAAGCAGTGACACTTAAAATTAACAACCTAAACCATAAGGGAAAACTGGCAAGTTGATATGTTAACCCGAAGTACCAAATGAGCAAAGAAATTCAAGTTCTAACAAAGATTAACCATTACCATTTCTACCAACTTGGAATGGCGAAAGGAGAAAGTAATACAAAAGTTCACAATTAACAACCCAACTGTTCTCATGCTCGATAACCATTACTTTATTTGCATCATTTCAAATATAAACTGCTTTATTTGACTTTGATCTCAACAGAGGTCAAGTGACATCAATAGAAAAAATCATCAATGAATACTAACATAGAGGTGACATGATGGTTTCCACTTACTATCAATTAACCTTCACGTGAATTATTGTCTTGACAAGGGTCTGACGGTTACACCTTGAGCCACGCCTCACTTGAGGTTGTCATTAAGCTTTTCAAAGCTTAAGCCTCAAGTGCCATTTGTTGAAGTGTACCCCTCGACTTATGATGTGTACGCATCAAACATAAGTCCTAGGACACCTTAGGTTTTACCTCATTTCCCTTGCCCTTTCTAAGCTTTTTGTTACTGCTTCAGCATCTTTGGATATATTTTATAGCCTACCTACACTCATGATATTTGTGCCACTTTATTCGTTATTTTGTTATCCTTGAGAGAGTTTTAGGGCGTTTTAATGTGTGTTTTGGTGTTGTGATATAGGTTGATAAATTGAAGGAAATAAGCAAAAGTTGACAAAATTGGAGAATATAGCTAAATTGTAAAAGATCCAAAGTTCGGGGACTAAAGTAAAAATACTGCAAAATTGTGTCGAACCTTACAATAAAGATTCGAGAGTGCTAGGAGTCAATTGGATGAAGAAAGAAGTCAAATGATGAAATATAGGCAAAGTATGATCACTCATCAATTTCTAATCGAAAAAGTTATGCTTTGGATTTACAGTCTCATATTGAGACTCATTTTTGACATAGCAAATGTTTGAATTGGAAAATGATATCTGAAGCAAAGTTGTAGCCCTTAGAGTTATCTTTCCAACGCATCTTGAATCGCCTCAATCGGATATCGAGAGAAAAAATTATGATAAAAATACTGAAGGACGCGCAGTGCTGAATTTTCACCCGAAATGGGCGACACAACGCCTCTCTCGCTGAAAATCAGCAGCAACATGGGCGCCACTGGGTGAGAAAACGGGTTTTTCATATTTTTGGATTCTTTTCTTGGCCAACACCACTCCAACCCTTCCAAAGCTTCAAAATACTATAAATACAACACTTAAGACCTAATTCTGGAGGGAGAATGGTTCAAGAGACAATGGGGAATTCAACACAATTCTTCAAGAAGGCAAGGAAGAAAAACATCAAAAGATTCAAGAACAAGACAAAGAAGAAAAAGAGAAGAAATTGAAGATCTACATTCTAGTTTTTCTATTATCTTCCCTATTTCTTTTAATATGAATTTTTAGTATTTTCATAGATTACATCATCAGCTAAATTCATTATTTAGGGTTTG